TTGGTGATGCTTTTACAAATCATTTACAACTCAGCCAAAGTTGTCTGGTTTTCGATGTCTTTTAATCTAGGTGATATTCCTTTCGAAGTAAACAAGGAAGGAGAAGGTTGACGACAAAAATATGCTACCGGATGCTCTTTCAGTTGGACTTCATATGCTTGTACATACTCAGACAGTCGAAGAGATACCTCCGGCGGGCATATGGCGCGAGTCTGCCACTTCCTCCGGAGCCCTGCCATTTCACGCATTTTTGTGACCCGGGGCTCTCCCAAAAGGGGCTTCATTCACCGTGACGTCACGGTGACGTCACAAACAGGACGAATGGGACCCCTATCCGCGACGCGCAAATCTCTGCTCCGGAGGTGCGCCACTTTTGGGAGAGCCCCGGAGCACAAAAATGCGTGAAATGGCAGGGCTCCGGAGCGCGAAGTGGCAATTCTCCTCTGGGGAAGGCCCGCGACCCTGCCATTTCTGCTCCGAAGGTATCCCATCGACTGTCTGAGTATATTCATGGTAGAAGACCGCAATCTCCGCGCCTTTCAAGTGATGGCTCTTCGTGGGTAGAGATCTTACACACGAGTGGAGTCCCAAACCTCAACACGAGTTCTGTTAGTTTAAAATTGGGATTTTTGAACGCTGTTGAGAAGTACGCATGAAGAACCACGCTCAGCAACTGAACTTTAGCTTATGAGGACATCTTTAGCTGATTTACATCTACAGTTGTCATTAGTTGGGAAATTGGGTTTACAACTGATTGCCAACAAGCCGGATGTATACACATCTGAAAAATTCATACAAGATGTGAATAGCACAGTCTTCTTAATGCTTGCACATTGTGCTTGTTTTGAATGAAACGTCAGAGTTCCAATCGTAGACGAACGCCGTAGTACTTCTCTTGGAGGACAAACTTGCAATCTATGTTTAGGTAAATCAGCTCTGACTGATAATGATCCAACATTAAGCGCTAGCGATTCCAGCCTCATCCAAGTTCAATAAAAACACAGAAAAGGGCACCCTCACAATGACGCAGCTAACAAGTGCAACAGGCGTCAATTATGTTACAAATCCGCAATGCAACCTAACAAGTAGCAATTAAATTGACGTCAAGCGTACTGTAAGACAGCCGGACGGTGGCTGAAGAAGTAATATTGTCGTGAGCAGGGTCAAGCGTGTGATGCGACTGTCGCAACGGGGGGTCGTAGGGGGGGGGGGGTAACGGTGAGGGGGGGGGGGTCCTAAAAGGAGGTAGTTTGGATAAAAGACCGAAAGCATGGAGGGAAATCGAATGGCAAATAATTATTACATGTTCTTAACAATAAATTCATGGAATGTCGTGTACCAATGTATCAAGTCAAAACGAGTAAACAATAATTTGAAAACATTTGCAAACGTAGAAATTCGCTTCATTCGCTGCACTTTTGAAAGATCATGACTTAGTTCATTTTTTTCTATAGGAAACACTATTTCTTCCGCAAAATATTGTCGCAAACGGGGATCGAACCCTGCTGGCATGAATAAAACTAAAAAAATAAACACTTTTAGAAGCTCAAATGCTACTAAAGGCATGGATGTGTGATAAAGATGTTGGATGTACCGAATGGTGCAGAAGTCCTGCTTCCGAAGGCTCACTGAAGACTCCCACACTCGAAAAAAGAGCATATTTCTATCAACGCTAATGATGAATAATTTGTAAATCTGTTTGTAACGCTTTTCATACGGTCCCTACAATTTATATGTATCGTTTATTCGTTGACCGTAACGACTGCTGACCGCGCGGCGACCGCTGCGCGTGCATGATGTTTTCGTAGAAAAGATGAATAGAAAGAAAACAGAGGATTCTTCTCATCTTTATAATGTAGAAAAGAAACAAAGAATTCTTCTCATCTTAAGCCACGGTCCAACTTGTCACTTTTTCGCAAGTTTAGAAGGCACGCGTCGCAATCGCCACGCGGTCGGCACAGTCCGTACGGTCAACGAATGAACGATACTTTAAAGGTGCTCTACTACATTTGTGCAAAATTTGGTCCTACTTCATAGCCTTCGGATTTTCTGATGATTTTATGTATGGTGGCAAAAAATGACAAAAGGGGAGTCGTATCTGGGTCGCATCTATATTTTTCCGAAGCTATTGAAGTTTGTTGGCTGTAATTTTGCTGTAATACGAGGCCATCCTCCTACTTTCTATCCTAAAAATTTCATGCCGTTTCATTACTTCTCCGATGAGTTACAAATTTTCAAGCTTAAAAATCCCAGTTTTTTAGGATCGCATCTAAATTTGTGAGAGTCGCATCTAAATTTTTTCGAGCTCACTGCTTCTCAAGGGCTGAAACTTTTTCTGTAAATAGCCTGGGCACTATGCTTCAGAACCTGTTCATTGCAGCCTCTCAGTCTTTCCTGGCCTTAGTTACGAATTTTCAACCTAACGTGCTCATGCACGTTTTTGACATCGTTCTGGACGGCGCTAAAGCGGTTCGCGGAAAAAACTGTGCAAGAGGTAGAAAGTAAGCTTCTCAGTCGAAAACATCTTTTGTAGTTCAAGAATGTCATTTTTTCTCGGTGCAAAAATTTTGTCGCATACGGGAACCGAATTTGCTGGCCTGAAGTATGCCAGAAAATTCAAAAAAAAAACTTGCAGAATCTCAAACATTATTGAAGGTGTGTATGTGTGCTACAGATGCTGGATGCACCCATTGGCCTAGAAATTCTGCTTCCGAAACCTCACTGATGTTCTCAAGCAGGTGTTTATTGAGATTGACATTCGTTTATGCAGGTTATCGCGAGGAATGTGGGCAGGGGAGGTAAGGGGGATAAATGGGGGAGGGTGGGGGAGGGGGGGGGGGTCGTATGGATGGGTACCTTCAGGGGGGGGGGTCGTAACTGAGGGTCCCGGATCGCATCAACACGCTTGACCCTGGTCGTGAGGTATACCCATGGCCGGGTGGAGGAACGAACACCTCAATTAGGCACCGCCTCCGCGGACCACTGGTCCCAACACGATGCACAACAGTAGGACGAAAGGACCAGCAGCCCGCGGAGGCTTTGCCTAATTGAGGCGTTCGTTCCTCTACCCCTTCGTTATTGGTTGAATCAGTGAACTGATCAGTAGCGATGTGGATTAAGTGGAAAGCGAATGAAGTGGATTAGATATAGCCGCGTCATACAGGCCGCATTTGCTTATGACATGGCATCCAGAAGCTCTTCGCAACTGCTATAGATACTCCTGTTTCGTCAGGAGTGATGTTCTCGTGCGGCTTGGGTCCCGCGCAGCCGCCTCGCCTAAGCTCTGCAACTCTTTCGCGAGCGCGCTCTTCATTTTTCCATGCTTAATCAGCGATTATAGCTCGGCCTCGTCCACACTCGTGGGGAAATGATCGGAAAGCACGCTCGCGAAAGAGGTGCAGAGCAAGTGAGGCGTCGCACTAAAGTCGAGCCGCACGAGCCCCATCATTCCTAATGAAACTGAAAGTAGGAAGTTATCTTATAGAATAACCAAAAGCTTTTGCTAAAGGACATCAGTAGCTTGTCATGCCAAAGTGGGTATCTATATGATTTCAGCAACTCTGAAGAATACCCACAAGCTTATTTGTGTTCCAATTGATGTTGAGACGTCATATGCTCTAGAAGAACTTCCCTAGTTTTCAAAGAAAAAGTAGTAGTTTATCCGGGGGCAATGATGCTAATCCACCGTTCGGCACCACCTAGGAAAAACAGCGCTAATACACTATTGATGATGAGATTATTAGACTTGCATATAAGGACGGCAGGAAAATAACCATACCACAATTTCATCTTTCTTCAAATAATCGCCCCAGGAAAGAGAACAAGATGCGATGTAGTAGGTCAATGAGTCATATTGAAACAATCGGATTCGGACGGGTTCAGGCGGATTCGGGCGTATTCGGACGAACTCGGGCGGGTCCGAACGGGTACCGGCGCGATCTGAACGATGCCGAACCTGAACTTCACCCAGCCCCCCTCACTCCCACTGCAACACAGGGTATCGCCGAATATTTTGCCTGCTTTTGGCTAGAACGCATTATAGGTGCTTTGCTTAACATCTTCTCCAGCTAGAAGAGGTTTACTCACAGCTATATGCACGTACTGGTCCGTTATTCAGCATAATATCTTTTAAGTGACTCTTCAAAAGCGTGCTCACCGCTTGTGTTACCTTCACTCCTAGTGATAGAGCGGGCGGAGTCTTCCAGATTCGATAGTTCGATGATCTATTCTTTACCTCTTAACAGCACTGGGTCTGCCAGAAACGGCGTTACCAAGTCCTGGCCCGCGCTGGCGCTGTTTTCCACAGCTCTAAAGCTAGAGGAAAACGCGCAGAAATCGCGAAATCGTTGAGTTATTATAAAATACCATTTTTGCGGCTTTTATACATGGGCTTGGTTCACTACATGTCGGTATAATCATTTATAAAAATAATATCGATACTGGTTGACAAAGCTGGATCCAAGTGCGCTCCCATTGAAGCGTCGTTGCTGCAAAGCGTGTTGCCTCACCTGCTGGTCAGGTTCGTTACACGGCTATTTCGGTGACTGATCAAATTTGCATGTTAGCTTATTCCAGTTGCCTTCCAGGGAGCATGGTAGGGACTACGAAACTGTCGTAATGTGCCTCACTCTTCTTCGTGTTGAATTGTCACATCTTTCTTGTATAAGGCGCAAGCAGTTTACATGAATTTGTTTGCAGTCGCCTCTACCATTTACAGAGCTGACGCATAAGTTCTGTATTCTCGTCAAAAGTCATATATCATCTCGGAGAAGGTTACTTGAGAATGCTGCGTGAGTCACCCGATCAAACTACGTGTGCAAAGCGTAGTCAAGTATCCTAGTCTCAGCCTGGATGTTATATAATGCATCAGCAATTGTTTTGGTTTCTTTTTCTCTACTTTGACTTATGTTACTCTAGAACTTGTTGGGAATTGCTTTTTATCAACTTGCTATCGATGTAATTTGTCGTATGCCATGTTTTGAAGCTAGTTGATTTAAACCTTCAACTCTTTCAGATTCTCATTTCTGTACCCTGAAACTCCTTGTCGTCAAGTGAGCTCTTTTTTACCGTATCACTTTGTGATGACTGTGGACGATGCTGTTCTCAATAAAGTACTGAAGTATGGCAAACTGATCAAGAAAAAGGAGAAGGTAGGTGACAGTCCGCTCTTTCGAATTCCGCTTTCCAAAAAGTTTCGCAGGTGTCTCATGCTTTGGCAAGATTGAACAACATTGATATGACGCTGGAGATATTGTCTGCTACCAATATTGGCCGCTATGTAAACAGGTCTGTTTTGTTTTACTTTTTTAAAATATAGTCCATCATCACTTACCTCAAACCAAACATATAGTTGTCTCTGCATTAGAAAGCTGTTTTTACATTTTTTGGATCTCCAATCCCTGCTGCCATGACCAGGTGGGTAGCCTTTGCAGCAGCTGTAGCATTCGTATTGACTTATTTCTCATGGTGAAGAATACAAAACTGACACTCCAAGCTTGTATTCTAATGTGTTAAACATCGTATGGATAACTTTGATGATCTGTTTGAGCGGTAGTCGAAATTGGTACTTTTCTATATACTCTAATGCTATCGTTTTGGCGTGCAACACCTGGTCGAGAGCCTGAAAGGTCAATAAGTAGACGATTTGTCCTCTTAAAAGAAGAATGGCGCTTAGCTTAGAGTATCTGACTTTGGTGCAGTGTTCCGTTGCCTCGCAAATCCAAGAACTGTCAAGATGCTCAGTGAATGCGGGAATCGAAATCTTGCACCCGTAGAAATTCAGAATTCCAGTCTCGGTTATTCGAAACCAATTTTCGATTGGTCTCTCTTTAGACTATAACTTGTTTATTGTCTTTGTAGTGTGGCTATCTGACATATGTAACTGTCATACATATGAAATTCGTCTTCCAGGTTGTGCCATGATGCAGAATATGGTCGCGATGCATCCAAAATTATCGAAAAATGGAAGGAGATTGCTCGACAAAGTGGTGTCAGGGGTGGTGATGAAGACCGCAATTCCGAGGACGATCATCCTCAACAAAATGGCTCTTCAGATTCGATTGAATCAGATGAGCATGGATCATATCTTATGAAGAGCGATGATGCTCATCAAGATTCTGAACAATATAATCACGAGGATGCTTACAAAGGTGAAGACTCTGACGAGGACTCTCATAGCCGTCGTTATAAACGTGAAGAGAAGTCCAGAGATCACTACGAAGACACCGAAACATCAGGGCAAAGGCAATACTGCGACGATAGACGAAGCAATCACTCTCATGACGATGCAGGTGACCAAATTCGCGTTTATTTTCTTCACGCGTAATGTTCTTTGGTGTAGATTCTGATAGTGCTTATCACGATTACGAAGACAATCATGATCAACGGCGCACGAATGACTACGATAGTGATGGTGCAGGTCAAACACTTGATAGGTTGGTTTACCTTCACTTTAGTGTCCTGTGGTAATTTCCCGCATCAAGTGTGTTTAACGATTGAATTTTGTTTTCACTGTAATAATTCTGAAGGCAGTAGCTATTGTCATACAGGTGTCATGTGGTTAGCGTAGTCTTGTCATTCCTTCACATATATTCTACAATCTATGGTACTGCTTGGTTTTCGCAAATTAATGGTTTACAGGCCATGTTCATCTCGTGCTAGCGACGCTAAGGATTCGAGAAAAAGGCACCACAATGCGGAAGAGCGAACTTCATCCAAGCAGCTTTCGAATGAAACGAAGAAAGTCAAAGCAAGCAAGGTGCAGCATAATTATTTCCCTTCCACTTCAGTCTAATATTTTATTAATCATGTCCTGCGTAGCCATCGCTAACAGAACTGGACGATATCGTGTCGTCATCCTTAACCCTTGACAAAAGCGTGGGCCACCGGTGGAACGTGGCAGTATCTGAAACTTGGTACCCTTACGGAATACTTGGCTTCTAGTCTCAATATTCACACAGTCTTTGAATTACTTGCCAACATTAACATCAGTCAAGAACAGTCGCCTGTGACGATGCCAACCATCAGTGACCCATGCTAAAAATGGCTGTTGTCCTCGTAAATCGGGTTAATGCTTGGAGTGAAATCATTTGGAACACAAAGCGATCAGCCATCAAAAACATGAAAAGTATGAGAGAACACCTAGTATCTGAATATGGCCGCAGTTGACACTGCGACGGATGGAAAGGCGTTTATGTATCTGGAAACTCATTTCAGGTTGTTACTGAGTTCGACATGATATTGCAAAGTGCGGACACCGGACACCCCAAACATAAAAAAGTGCGAGATGCACACATTAAGTGGACCGAAATGCCTGTGGTGAGTTCAGTCAAGAATATAGCCTAGTATTGGTGCTGCAGCAGACTTCTGGTTGTAGTCACTTTGAACTTAATTTTTTATTTGTTTCTTTCTTATCTTCTGAATACCCAATATGGTATTTCGATGGGTGAGCATGCGCGACACAGGTGATTTTGTAATACATGATTCCGTGAAAAGCGGTGTTACGAAAGGCTTGCCACTTTTCCTCAGTTTCGTTTTGGGCTTAAAACAGGGGAGGAGTGAATTTGTTGCTTCAGAATAGTGGAAGCGTGGCTTAGAGTGATTTTTTGGCTCATCTCTCTTCTTTGTCGTATTTTCACTGCAAAGCTGAGTTGTGAGAAATAGAATTGCTAAATAAGATACGTGTTTATACGAATATCGTGCATAGTGAACTATGCATATTTACGTTTATTTTTTAGTTGACGAATTACCAGCCATTTCCGCAGGCTGTGCGAGTAGCAAAAGATGCTAATACGTCTCCCGGTATGCTTTACGGTGAATCAATATACAACATTTCATAAGTAATACTTGTTCAGCTGATGATTTCAACCCAGAAAATATGTTCAAACCACGAAATGAGCGTGGCAAAGTATTCGCTGGGCGTCGAAAAAGCACTCCATTAATTGTACCCTCATTGTTCAATATCTGCCTGAGGGTACTCTCTAACAATATAGGAGGTAAGTCATATTTGCTAAAAGGTTTCCTTCACTTGCGGTCATTTTATAGTATTGCTCTATGCCGAGTACATCCCTTATGATGTGTTGAAGCCGGTACTGGAGAAATGTACTGATGAAGAACTGGCCAGTATTGAAACAAAGCACCCGGTACATCTTTGTTATCTTAATCTTGTTTCATGCTTATGAGCGGAAAGTTTTCAGTACATCGAAGATGATTCGGGCGAGTTGTGGCAGCGGCTCGTTTCCAAAAAGTATCCAGGAGAGGAGCCAGATACTGATGGTTCTTGGAAAGAATTGTATTACTACCTCGAAAAAGAAAAGGAAGAAAAATTGAAACGTTTGAGCCAACGTATCGGAAAGATGCATCAAGCTGATTCAGCCAAAGGGCAAAGAAAGGTAAATATGTCTACAGCGATCATTCAACGTCCAAGTTCTGTCTCTCCTAGACGTTGCTAGCTGATGCAACTGCTCCTCTTTCCGTGAGGCGACGGCAAATGCAGCACGGCATTGCGCATGTCTCCCGTCCACTACCTAGCGCAATTGAAGTATCCAGCGCTCGTAGGAAGATCTTCGAGACTGGAGGTAACAGAGCTGCTCTTCTTTTCATGTCGCCATTTCGGACCAGTTTCATTCCAGGTTCTAAAGCGGCTTTGTCCACTTTACCTTCAGCTGTTGTGAACCGCAATTCAACTGTTGGAGCGAAGACTGATCGTCACGCAAAAAAACCACCAGCCAAGAAAGGCGCGCTGATGATCAAAACCATGAAAATGTTGAATATGAAGCGCAAATGATGCGGATGATTTGCTTGCTTGGTTAGCTGCAGCATTTCGACGGCAGGTTCAGGCATTTTGCATGATTCGTTGCTCGTACTTCTTTTCGGTGTGCTTCGTCCGGAAACGTCTTCGTCGAGGTTTGTCCGGAGAAGGTTCGTGTTCCTTCTGAATCAGTGAGCGCTGTGTCCCTGGACGTGTTTCATAGTAAGAGCTATGTCATTTCTGACATGTACGGCTGTGTCACATCACTAATGTACATATCGTCGTTCTTAGATCAGAGTTCTCCATTCGTACACTTCAAATGGTCATGATTCTTTTTGACATTATTATACATATAGATATGTTCCCCTAGTTGTGCTATTGGGTTGTATTTAACTAAAGGTACGGTGATATTGTCGTTTTTGCGAGTACAGCTGTAGCCCAACATTTGCTCAGGCATGTTCCCGTATAATGCAGATTTTTTTTAGATTTTGGTAGATAGTTAAATTAATTAAGCCAGCGAGGCTTTTCTTAGATGTTTGACTGATCATCGCTGCAGTTTTCGTAACTTTTATGCTCGACCTTTCTAGCAAATGTGCAGTTTCTGAGGCATAATCAAATGAGACTTCGGCATCGGCGAAAACAACGTAGGTATCCATTTTCCGCTATCATCTATACAAAACTTTTGCCTTACAATGTTGAAGGATAGAGTGAGGAAAAGAATACCGTTTTCTTAAACTGCGCTTATAAGTTAATTTGCACGAATGTTATTATTTATCTGTAGGATTTTACGAAATTAGGTACAAAACAGAGTTAGGTTTATCATTTTATTGCGCGGTAATCTTGGGCATGTACTAGTAATTTTTATAAGACTAATGGGTTTCATAAATTGTTAAAGCTACTTGTTAGTTTCATAATTTTCTTTCCGTTTTCATTACTTTTATCCGTTTTCATTACTGCAAATCTTGTACGCTCCTTTGGTAAATTTGTGAGTTTAACTTCATGTATTCAGCTTCGGTGACCGTATAATCAAGTTGGTAACATTCGGTCTGTTATGTGGTTGTTTACGTTTATGGTGTAGTTTGTTGCTTTGCGTGAAACGATTACGCGTATTTATTTGTCTTTCTAACATACCAGATTGTCTTGATGTGATACGCTTCTGTGTGACTGGTTTTCTAGTGAATGGCATATAATTTTGATGAGTAAATCCGGATAATTTTTGTCTTAACATATCCACAAAGAAGAAGGGTTGTGATTTGTAAGTGGAAAGAGGAGACTGCCGCACAGTAACTTCTTGTTCTCTGTCGTTGAGATCGAAAAACGCTATGTGGAAGCAGTGTAAAACCTAGCTATAGGGCATTTGAAAAATCGTGACCATGGCGCGACCGCGCGCTACACGCACGCCACTTCCGGAAACCGCAATTTTCTTGGTTTCCATCTCTATCCAATGTTTTTTTTGCCTACGCATGATGGTATCTAGACACTGGAAGTGACTGAGCTGAGCGTTGAGGTGATGTCTCTTGTATGAGCGTTTACGATCCTGTGGGCGCAAAGTCCGCAGTCAAATCCGTCGTCACGATTTTATAAATGACCTATACGCACACAGTCGAGTTGGAGGCCTGCTTCGAACAAATTTTGAGGAGGAGGAGCGTGGTGTGCTAGCTCGTCCAATCTCACTCACAAAGAAAGAATGTCAGTCAAAGTGGACTTTTGATACATGAATAGTTCTAAACAGCATGTAGCGCTGGCAAAATCTGTCTTCCCTTTTTGATGCGGGTTTCTGAGCGAAAAGATAATGGATTCTATGAGGAGAATTTGAATGCGTGCTTAGTGCAAAATGTCGTTAACTTTTTCTAGCCTTTGAAAGAGGCAGCTTTGAGTGCATATGTTTGAATCAAAAATATTTATTGCACGGTGTGTCCCGACTATCATCTAAGCTTTAGGGAAAGTGCTAAAGCTTAGATGATAGTCGACTGATTTTGTCCTAGAAATCCTAAATTCAATTTTTCGCCCTCAAATAGTCTCACAGCTTCTCGCCCAGAAATACGCAGCGGTAAGGAAAGCAGATTAGATATCGCGTTTTAGCTTTCCAAAGCGTATACAACTCATCTCGAAAGGCGACTTGACTAACTATTCCATCCTTGTCAGGCACAAGTCAACACAAGTATCAGAACTTATAATAAACTGTATATACAGGGTGTCCCAAAATGTGCACGATGTTTGATTTCCAATGCTTGCTTCGATGTCTTTCGCCGATCTTTAGGTACCATTTTGTAAAGCTCGCTTCACCTCACAAGGGAAGCTTGTAAGCCAAAGTGGGCTTTCTAAATGAGATGTATACCATATTAAAGGGCATAAAACACTGTTTCCAAACGTGCTTTCCTTATCTGCAAGACGTTTATGAACAAGGAGTTATGAGCATTTTTTTGCAGCGAAAAATTGAATGTGTATTTTGGATAAAATGAGTTGCTAAAATGTTATCAGTCTTCAAATAATGCATCCAAGTGTGGTATTTTTTTATTTTATATTTTCCAATAAAGTGCTTTGATGATTATCACTGCTCCATTGAAGAGCTAGTGAAAGTGTTACGGCTATTTTTTTCTACTTGCACAATTAATTTTTTGCTCCAATAAGCGCTCATAACTGCTCGTCCATAAAGGTTCTGCAATAAGGAAGTCAGGCGTGGAATCATCACTTTATGCCCTTCAATATGATATACGTCTCATTTAGAAAGGCCAGTTTGACTAAACATGCTTTCCTTGTCCGATTCACGACATGGAGCAAAACTCTGATGTCTTGTAGCAATGGTGTGAACTTTTAACGTACAGCGCCATGTGAATTAGGCCGTTCGATGAAAAATTCCAAAAACATCCGCAATTTTGTACAGCATAGTTTTTAAGCAGTCTGATTTCATTATGCAACCTTTTACAAAAATTTCGAGTCTTTTTAGATCTGTAATCACATTTGAAGGACATTGGCAGAGCAGTTGTTACTGTTTTCCTGAATTAACTCATGAAGAAAGCATGACCATAGTGTGCTATAGCTCAGTGTGAGAGTTTTTGGTTTGTCCGTTTTCCTTTCCAGGGTGAAATGAGAATTTTATAGCTTAAAACTCTCTTCAAGATTCCTACCGTAATCCTACAAACAAAGAAAGAGAGGAAATTAGCTTCGTACTGTAAATCTGAGATGAAACCAGCTCTACATGGTGCTTAACTTATTGACGACGATGTGGACCATCGGTGGCCCTCCTCTCACTTTTTGCCGCCAGGGACGGTGTGGACCACCGGTGACTCACACCCCTTGCAAAATCACGTCCTTTCCAGGTCTAGTATCTTCTCCGCAGTTCAGTATTTTTTCCATTTTTTGCATACTCGGAACCCATAGACCTTTTCGTTGAAGAAGATGATTGTAATGGATTTTAAAACAACTTTACATTTCGTAAATAATCACAAATCTTCCCCACGCCAAAAGTGTTGTGCAAAATCGCGTCGTCCCATAGCGTCGCCACGCAAAATTAGGCCTCGTCGTCAATGGGTTGAATGACAAAATACATTGAGGTAGAAGAGTTATTGAAGATCAAGCAGCTTGCACATTTCTTGGGACACCCTGTATATTTCGCTGAAAGTTTCTTTGGAGGTAAGTTCATAGGATGTGACAGAATCCCAAAAAAAGATGTAGCCCATCTTTCTGGGGGTTCTGCCACACCCCATGAACTTACCTTCAAAGCACCTACACCTAGGTTTTAATTCTTCTTACATTCTTCTTTCTTGTTAGTGAAAAATAGTTGCTGAAAGCACAACCATTGCAGGCGAAAACAGAACAAACGAGATTTTGGCTGGTTCCTAACTCCATAGTTCGGCGCTTATTTGAAGTGAGATTTTTCGTTTGAAGAAAGTAGTAGTGCTTTGTACTGAGTGCAAAGGGAGGTAGCTAATTCGCCTTCAGAAATGAAGCTATCTATGTCCGAAAACAGTTTACTTGGGTGGTCCAATGTTTCAAAAACCTCGGAATTCAGTGAATCTTGATTATTTGACCTGCTGATTACGTAATGATTTTATTTTGCATGATGGGCTTATAAGACATCTTAATGTTCATGTTATCACTAATATCACTATCACCTCGATTACGGCCCCCTTCCTCTGACCCTTCGCGTTAGCGAGCTTAGGTACGCTTACAGACGTTTTTGATATGCGTCAGCTCGCGTACTCGCGCATGCGTTCTCCCCTGCTCTTGATCGAGTAAGACGATCACGTATCTTTTTCTTGTATCGCGGGCGCTCGCGTTCAAGCTTGATCGGTCATCTACTTGAGCAGGAATCCTTGCCTGATCAGGAGATTGCACATGTGTAGACGTTTTATATATCGTTATCCAGTCTGCGAAAGATTTTGAAGCACTGTAACAAATCGTATTACCTCAGAATCTGCCTAAGCACGTAAAATATCGAAAATTTTGCCATCATTGAGATAAAAACAACTGGAGTGAAAAGAAAAATGATTCATAGGAAGTGCATACGCATCGCATACACTGCTTTTGTCATGATCTGTAAATGCGCTATGGCGCTTCGCTTGCATACTGCATTCATTGCTCTAATTTCACAAACACAAGACGCACCTTTTTGATTTTGTTAAAGGCAGCGTCCATCCATGCCTTTAACGTTTTTGTCATTCTACAACCTTTTCGTGGCCCCAATTACGGTTATGAAGTTGAAATGTGCAAACCCTCCACACCCCCCCCCCCCAAAAAAAAACCCCGATTTGTGGGAGCCCTTATTTTAAAGCATAGACCTTTCAGTACTTGAGTGAGCGGAGCTTGGTAGGGCGAGCGTGGCTTGACAGCACTTTTTAGATTCCAGGGCCATTACCACCATACTGAGACAACATAGGAGGACGGGGCCAAAGCAGATGTCTCTCCCATGGGACCTACATTCAGTTTAGGTACTAATCGGAGGTGGTTAGGTTTTGCCTGGACGCTGCCTTTGAGCAAGCAAATCAATTGAATCGCCGTTCCTCGCGAAATGCTCGCTACCACATAATTCTTCTAGCTTGTGAGTAGCAAGTTAGTTGGTGCGTTGGTCACGGAATTATACAGTGTGCTCAGGCTAGTTTAAAAAAGAAACAGATGCGTCTTGCACTCGTGAAATTATAGGTCGTGAAAATCCGCACCTAGCGTCCGCGAGCTAAACAAAGTCGTTCTTGAGCGGCTAAATTAGCCAGCATCATATCTGATAGGTCGAGAGTAATGATGAAACACCGCGATACCCTGTGCTTTCAGTTCTTTCAATAAACTTTTATCCAAATCGTTTGACCTGATTTCGAGGAGAACAATCTAACTAGTTACTAAATGCTGTTTGTGAAAGCTTTTTTGCTAATTCGAAGCAGCTTCTAAGTCGCAATTTTGCCAGGAATTCAAAAATGTATTTTTAGATCCGTGAAGCTTACTGTCAGGGAAATTAGCGCCGTGCGACGACTTTGTCGCGACAAATACGTCGCGATAGGTCAAACAAAAGTGTTTTTAAAAGTTAGACCTATATATTGAACCGCCAGATTTGTAGCAGTCCAGTGATGTTTTCAGTTCCATCAGAAATCTGCTTCGATAGAAGTTATAGCAATCCGACGGTTTTTTCACGACAAAGCAGCGAAGAAAAATTTATCGCAATCCGTTTTTTCCCAAGAGTTAGGATCTCAATTGTTCTAAGAGATTTAAAGGAAAGGCAAATGCATAATAACGACAAGTTCTGTCGAAATCAAAGTTCGACCCGAGCACACTTGATTGAAAGACAGAACCGAAACCTTGAATGCACCGTCCACTCAACTTCAGCGTGGTGGTTTTGTTGCTGTATAAGCGGGCCCACTACTAAATTATTACATCCTGATCGAGAAAACCGCTACGCAAGGATGAAGCGACTCCACCTATCAACGTGGGTTCTCAAGATAGTGAGTGAGTTTTCGAGTGAGCAGAAATGTCGAAGATTTGATAATCCTATCGAAGGGTAGATTCTCTACAATTCTAAATGCATTATAGCCAAGTTTTGAGGGGGGTGATTCCATTTAATACAAATCAAAGACTGAAATTCACAGAATTCGCTAGAAATTCTCCTAAGGGGGTTATCGACTGCTGATCACGAATACCATACTCATTCCCCACGAAAACGCCCTATGATAGCGTTACGGTAGGATTATGATGTGGAGTCAAAATCTGAATTTGCCTGGAATTTGGTCTGAAGGGGTTATTTAGCATGCTGGACATGATTGATTTTGTACAGTAGTGCCATTTTCTCGAGTTACGGTGGTCGGCAGATAGGTGAAAATTTCAAATTTGCTCAAGACGTTGCTTAGAGGGTTTTCAGCATGCTGATGACGGATATCAGGCTTGCTCGCTGCGGCAAAGCTTTATTGTAGAGTATACTTGGGTCCGAATCGAGCACAAATTCGATCATTCGAATAAAACATTCGAATATATTCGCATTCGAAATTCGATATTCGGAGTTCTTCAATTTTCGAATAATATTCGAAACTCGAATAATTGAGGAAACGGGGTTTCGAATATAATTCGAAACTCGAATAATCAAAAAACAGGGTTTCGAATAAAATTCGAAAACTCGAATAATCAAGAAACGGGGTTTCGAATGTTTTATTCGAATGTTTATTCGAATTCGTATTCGAATGAACTCCGTATCCAGATTATTCGAGTTTCTTGCAGAGCCAACCGCTGAGTATAGGGCATTCCAAAAATCTGACGATGGTGCGACTGCGCGCGACACGCACGCACCTTCCGGCAACCACATTTTCTTGGTTTTCATCTCTACTCGAATGGATTTTCTGCTTACGTATGACAGTATTTAGACATTGGAAGTGACTAGATGAGAATTGAGATGATGCCTTATTGTATGAGCGTTTTCCTCTCCTGTGAGCGCAAAGACCGCAGCCAAACCCGTCGTCACGATTCTATAAACGAGCTATAGCTCGCTTCGTCTGCGTTTTTTTTTGCAAAACTCGATAATGCATTTTGCAGCCGGGATCACCTTTGAACTGTATAAGCTGTATTTCTGCAACTGCTGACAGTAAAAAAATTAGGTGTGGATTTTGATTGATGTTATTGGCACCAAATCGGCAAAAAAGCTATCAAATTCAAGCTCATGTACCGAATTCATATACTGGAAATGAGTTGACATGCCTGTTCCTCTTCCTTTGCATTGCTCATGCTTTTGGTACGTAAAGGTTCACACTAGAGAGCACACTTGCTTGTAAAAGTCATATTGCACAACTGCCTCTATTCTTTACCTTAGGCCTAAGGCATACCTCGCACGATTCCGGTCGCTACGCGATTTGGCACAACAGCGACTCCTCGTTATTTCTTGTTAATGCGCTGCCTTTGGTTAGAACTTGATGCGTTTGTAACAACTAACACAAGCTACCCAAATATGCGTTTGTGAAGCGCGCACGATAGATTTGTAGAAATCTGGCAAATCGCCAAGTCGCGTGAAAGTGGCGATTCGGCGGAATCGCGTGAGGTATGCCTTAGGCCCTAGAGATCTTTCGCGAATTGATGTATTTTGAGTAAAGGACAGTGCAGCTGTGTTGGAGAATTAGACGGTTGCTGGATTTTGCTGTCATATCACCCTTCAATAAAGTTTTCTTCAGTGGATAGTACACGATAGTTCTGTCATCACAGTGCATCCAAGATTCATGGAGGCTTTTAGGCAGGTACTTTTAACACCTGGAGCTATCAGCCTATCAACTATGGTAACGACTTAGGCCGGACGAAGAAGGTCCACATTGAGAGCGAGCTTTGATTATGACAGGCCCCGCACATACTTCACGCGATAGTCGTATGCGATTTGCCAGTTACAAGATGTCTCCAAATGTAACGAAACTTACCACAAATGTATAGCGTGTACAATTTTCTATTACAATTGGATAAATGCCCTGCTTTACTTTTAGAATCCGCCTACGTAAGTTTTGGACAATTTGACTATTGCCAAACCACGTCGTTACTGAAATGCCGCAGTACGCTTGCGGCTATAGGGGCATTCTTGCTCGCTTCGCGGAGTAAACCACATGCCTTCGTCCACGACTAACTTATATTACACAAGACGAAAGTATCCTATAAACAGGCAAGGTATCGTAGCATTTGTGGCATATAAAGTGTTGGATCCATGGCAGAGCTGATAAAAACGGTAGCAATCCTTTATCGGAAGAGCAAGATCCAAAAACAAATATTGAACAACAATGGTCTTATATACCCGTTGACTCGGGTCAAAAATGATAAGATAAGATAACAACGGTAGTGATAAGATAAGGCAGTACATGGGGATATGATAAGCAAAGATAAGATAAGAAGCACAAAGATCAATAAAATTTTCTGTGCGAGTGCACAACACCTCCCTTTTCAGATATAGTGATAGGTTGAGGCGGTTGAGGCGCGGGGGTCCATACTGAGACGACGAGGAGGACGTCGGGTTCGAGTAGAGTGAATAGGTGGTTCAGGGAGCGCTGGAGCTGTTGATCCGTCGGGCTGTGCTTGCGGTGATGATGATGGTGACGAAGGGTTTGATTCAGAGTCCTCGCTCCTGGGTTCTGTTGTTGCCCGTGGTCTGATCTGATTAGCGTGCCGGGTCCAGGTTCCACAGTCAACCTTCACGGAGTAGATGACGTCGCCGAGCCGTTCGCAAATTACTCCAGGAATCCAAGTAGCCTTATTGGTAGTTCGGTAGTCCTTTACATAGACGTGTTGTCCTGGAACAAAAGTTCTTACCGTGGTCCCATGGTGATGGTTGAATTGCTCCTCCATTTTTCTGTCTCGCGATCCCTGCTTCTGGTCCGCTGGGTGTAATAAGTCCAGAGTTGTGCGGATTCTGTGTCCGATGAACATTTCAGCGGGGGAACGGCCATCGAGATTCGGACACGGTGAGCTTCTATAGTTCATCAGGAAGGTTTGCAGTGCGTCGACTGGCGTCTCCTCCCTCTTCAATTTGGTAAGCGCGCGTTTGAAGGTGTCTACAAATCTCTCGGCTTGCCCATTTGACTGCGGATGCAAGGGAGGTGTCCGAAGGTGTTTAATGCCTCTAGAATCGCAGAATGCATGAAATTCGGTTGATGTGAATTGGCTGCCGTTGTCGGAAACGATGACCTCCGGATTTCCGTACCGGCTGAACAGCGTCTTGAGTTCCCAGATCGTTCCTGCGGTCGTGACGCTGGACATTTCGATAATTTCCGGCCACTTTGAGAAGGCGTCCACCACGACTGTGTAGGTGCGTCCATCCACCGGTCCTGCGAAGTCGACGTGAATGCGGCTCCACGGTTTGGTAGCGACCTTCCAAGAACGTAAGTCTGTTTTAATTGGGTCTTTCGAAGCTGCAGCGCAGCTGCTGCAGGAGCGAACGAGAAGTTCGATATATCGATCGATATATGGCCAATAAACGTGACTGCGGGCGAGTATCTTCATGCGAATGGCCCCCGGATGTGCAGCGTGCAGACTGTTGAGGACTCTCCGTGCAGCCCGCGGGGGATGAAGAGGCGGTTCCCCATGAGTAGGCAGTCTTCGGAGATAGAGAGCAGGTCCCGTCGATTGTAAAACGGCCATTCTGGAGCGTCGCGGGAGGTTTTAGCCACTGCGTCAGCACAAATGACTTGATCTTCTGCAAGAAATTGTCTTCTTTAGTCTCAACAGCTACTTCAAGAATGGTGAGTGGTAGCTGACGGCTGTGATCCAACATGTCAATTCTCATCTCGGCGTCCACTCTTGCGATGACGACATCTTCATGTTCCTTTGGATGGGCCGCGATCAATCGGGAGAGGGCGTCCGCTTGCCCAAATCCGCAGTGCTTCGGTACTGGATGTCGAAGTCGTATCCTAAAAGCAGAGTGGCCCACCTCTGTAATCGATTTGCAGTATATATTGGCACTCCAGTTTTGCTTCCAAAAAATGGCGAGGAGAGGCTTGTGATCGGTCAAAAGCGTAAAGTGCCGACCATGTAAGTAGGGGTGAAATTTTGTGACAGCAAAGACTAGTCCAAGACCCTCCTTTTCGATTTGAGTGTAGTTCTTCTGTGAGGCGTTGAGAGTGCGGATGGCGTGATATATGGCCTTCTCTGAGCCGTCTGGAAAGCGATGTGAGATAACAGCTCCAACGCCGTAGTTCGACGCGTCGGCGGCTACTAAGATGGGCAACGATGGATTGTAGTGCGTCAGCAGTAAGTAGGATGCGAGAATAGTCTTGATTCGTTCGAATGACTTCTGGCACTCCTCAGTCCAAGCGAATTCGGCGTTCTTCTGCAGCAGGTTGTCTAGCGGAGGGCGAATGTCCTTCATTTCCGCAACAAATCCTCCATAGTGGTTAACCATTCCAAGAAACGACCGCACTTGAGATACATCCTGAGGGGAAGGCATCATCACAATTGCGTGGATTTTCTCTTTATCCGGTCTGCGTCCGTTTTCGTCGATAACCATTCCTAAATACTTTATTCGGCGTTGTAGGAAGGCGCATTTCTCAATCCTGAGCCGGAATCCATAATTCCTGACGCGGTGCAGGACAGCAACGACATGTTCCGTGTGTTCATCGACGATCCCGTAATGACGATGTCGTCCATATATGCAGCGACTCCTATTAAATCCGAAATCATGGTATCCATCAGCTCCTGGAAAATGCTGGGCGCTGTTTTGACTCCAAATGGTAACCGATTGTAGTTGAAGAGTCCTTTATGAGTGTTGATGACAAGTAGTCGTTTGGCATCGTCGTCGATCTCCACTTGCAGGTACGCTTCGCTCAAGTCAAGTGTGGTGAAGAAGTGTCCTCCATTCAGTTTAGTGAAGACATCCTCAAGTGTTGGGAGCGGGTACTTGTGTGGTTCCAGCGCGTCATTTAATCCAGTTGAAAAATCCGCGCACATTCGAATTCTTCCGTCGGCCTTTTTAACGCAAACAATCGGCGCAGCCCATTCAGAATGACTTATCGGAGACAAGACTCCCAAGTTCACTTGTCGTTCTAGTTCGCCGGTGACAGCGGGAAGGGCCGCATACGGTACGGGACGGGCCTTGCGAAATGCCTTGATCGCATCTTCTTTGAGCAGGAGTGCGGCCTTCATCTTCGTGCAGTGTCCTAGTCCTGGCTGAAAAACCTCCGCACCACAATCCAGCCGCATTTGACATCCTTTCCATTGATCTTTACCATGCGGTAGGCCCTGGTCTGTCCAGGTAGTGATGTGGTGACATGATGGACGTCCTTGGCTTTGTCGACGAATAGCTTACGCAGGCAGTATTTCTCTAGGTGTCCACGTTTCTTGCAGTAGCTGCACATACTTGTCGGCTTTTCGCACTTCTGGTCTTGTGTGTCCTCGATCCGCAGTTCATGCAGAGAAGGTCCGTTCCAGGTTTGCGGCCAGTGGATCTCTCCTTCTCGCTTCGCTGTATTGCGTTGACTTCTGAGTTCTCATCCTTCTGGATCGTGTTGACTTCTGGAACCTTGGGTTTGCCGATCATCTGTATGTGGTACTGTAATTCTGAGTAGTCATTGCACTCCTCCAGCAGGTCATTCAGAGTAGCATCCGGTTCGGCTTTCATTCTCTTCAGTACCCGGGTTCGTAATGCACACAGTCATCGTCTTCTAGTGCGCTTATAAACACTAGGCATTTGAACTGCTCGCTGGTCATGTGGCAAATTCCGCGTTTTCCACGTTCCGGTTAACTTCGGCGGCGAATTCCGGTAACGGCATTGATGAGTGGTACTTCATCCTCATGCATTCGTACCGCCGTGTGAAAACGGATTTGTGGCATCCGAATAATTTCAGCAGCGTTACTTTTGTCATCTCCAGGTCCATTTCTTCGATCTTCTTAGGCGCGATTGTGTTGACAAGAAGAGCATATGTCTTGTGGTCAAGTTGTGGTGTGTGTCTTGCGGTATACTATCAGTCTGGCCTTGGCATCGTCATCCAGTGCGACTCCATCCCTCTTGATGATGTTCTCATAGCGTTGTAGCCACACCGAACGTACATCCATTTTCAGGGTCGTGGATGAACTCCGGTAGACGGGCCGCAAGTGCGTTCATTACGTAGTCCTCGTTGGATCCGGGTTTCTTCCTCAACTCCTCCATGATTTCTCGGTTTTGCTTCCATAATTCCATGACTTGTGTCATGAGAAACTGCGTAGGGTCCATATCCGCCTTCTTTGAGTCCCGGGCCTGATCGCCACTTGTTGGATCCATGGCAGATCTGATAAAAACGGTAGCAATCCTTTATCGGAAGAGCAAGATCCAAAAACAAATATTGAACAACAATGGTCTTATATACCCGTTGACCCGGGTCAAAAATGATAAGATAAGACAACAACGGTAGTGATAAGATAAGGCAGTACATGGGGATATGATAAGCAAAGATAAGATAAGAAGCACAAAGATAATCAAATTTTCTGTGCGAGTGCACATTCAAGTAACTTTCAAGACAATGTGGCCGCCGTTACTTGCGCCCCCCCCCCCCCGAAAATGGGTCAAATTCTTGAAAGTTACTTGAATGTGTTATAAAAATGTGCAGTGGACTTGTTTTTACTTGGGGTCAGGGGCCCGGAAAAACTTTGGGAAGCATCCTAAATGCGTGGCTAACGTCACACGCATTTGGGATGCTTCCCAAAATTTTTCCGGGCCTCTGACCCCAAGTAAACGTTTACTTTGATGCTTTCACCGATTTTTGGAAAGTCTTGAGCTACGAGGCCGGGAGGTTGGTACGGGGGAGGAGGTGGGGGGGGGGGGGGTAAATGAGGGTGATGATCAAAAATATAACCGATTTTATCGATTTCAGCGATTTTTTGGAAAATCTTGAGCTAGGAGTTGGTATAGGGGATATGAGGGTGCTGATTATGAACTTTAGCCGGATATGTCAGCAAGTTTGAGTGGTTGCTCTAGTTATTCGATATATAATCATTCGAATTATTCGATATATAATCATCAAGCTCAGCTGGAGCAAGATGTTGTTCTCGTAAGCATTTCCCGAAGCAACATCAAGCGACAGCTAGTGCGTAATCGTATATACGATACAGCCTGTATTACGAGGGATTGCGTCATTTGTCCTTACGGAAGGATGGGAGACTGTACCAAGTTTGGCATTATCTACGAAATTGAATGTCTAGATTGCCACGCTACCTACATAGGGGAAACTGGTCGTCAACTCAGCGTGCGAATTAATGAACACTTGTCTAGCAAAAGACGGGAAAGCATGTCAAGTCCGCTAGGGAAACACAGAAAGGTAGATCATCACGGCAATGACTTCAGTATCAAGTGCATCATCCTAGGTCACGAGTCGAAAATTGCTGCTCGCAAAGCGCTTGAAGCGGCATACATTCTTTCGCGCGAACCTAAACTAAACGGAAAGAATGAGCAGCTCTCCATCACAAGTGACTTGATGCCATTTCTGTCATACTGTCACTTATAGATAACATATCCACTACTACTTAAACTGTCCATATCGGTCAGTTCCAGTCATTACCACCAGTGGATATCAAACATCTGTTGTTGCCTGATTGGTGAAAAACTTGGTACGCTACTTACAAGGTATTGTCTCAGCATGTTTGCCCCTAGGACATCGAACTGAGCTAGCTGAGAAGAGAGATTTGACAGTACAGAGTGAAAAACAAGTACGAGGCTTTCTTGCAGGTCTCTGAGGAAGGCATTTTTGCCGAAACGTTAGACCGAAATAAAGAACTTAACAAACCTGCGTGGCTTACAACATATCTTATGAATTCAAACAATGCCCAGGTTTCATTATCAGAGAACGTATAGAATATCATTCGAATATTTATTCGAGATTCGACTTCCAATGTTCGAATATATTCGATATTCATTCACTCGATGTTTTCGATTTTCCGACTTTATTCGGGAATCATTCATTCGAGAATTTTTATATCTCGAATTTATTCGATAATCGTTTATTCGAGATTTTTTATTTTCGAATTTACTCGATATTCATAATTTTTTCATTTTCGAATTCATTCGATATTCATTCATTCGATGAAAAATTTCGAATTTACCCAAGTATATTGTAGAGTTATGGTGAACTGCAGCATTTAGGTAAGCACCTTTCCCGCTTTTCAGACCAATTAAAGTCAACAAAAATTCACGACAAGGCTGTGTCAGCGAAATGAGGGCGATGTTCGTGATCCGCACAGTAGACACCCCTGCACAAAGTTTCAGGCAGATCCACGGTTTGACCCCTTACCATATACCCACGTAGACGGACAAGTTTTCGTGCGGATACAATGTGGAGTTCGTGATCAGCGTATCGAATATCCCCCCCCCCTGTGCAAAGCTCCAGCGAATTTTGAGATCCTGACCCCATACCGTGAACCTACCGTAACCCTACCATAAGGCGTTTTTGTGGTGAATGAATATGGTATTCGTGATCAACATGTCGAATAACCTCCCTACGACCCCCCTAGGCAAATCTTCAGCAAAATCCGTGATTTTCAATTTTGGGTTGTACTAACACGTTCACGACAATACGATGTGTGGGTGGGTGGGTCGGTGGTTCACCGGTGGTTCGTAAGATTGCTGAGGCTGTAGCTTTGCCAATTTACGATGGAATGCTAGGGGTTTCTGGCACATAATTGGGGACACTCAAGTGAAGCTCCAGTAAGAGTGGTTCGGGCTCTATACTGCAATTTAATGTCACGTTAGGTGTACCGTAGATAGATATAAGGCACAGACTTTAGCTCAAATGCTTCGCAGAATGATGCTGTTTCTGGAAAATCAAGTTTACATGCACAAGTAATACGGGCGGGCAAGATAGTGACGTTAGCTTACCAAAAATTATCGATTTTATTGATTTTACGGTTTTATTGATGTTTTGGATTGTTCATCCGGAAACTCGAATCTTACATAAACAGGGTGTCCGTAAAGTATGTCTGTTTGATCGTTAATATCTTTCTTCCCAACAAGTCTTTTGCCTTGCTTCAGGTACCATTTTGTAGAGCTGGCTTCAACTTAGATTTAAGTATGGAGCGAATCAACGATCGCTCTTCATTACTGTAGACGGTAGAAACTTGAAACATGGGCCGGTAGTATTCCCCCCGACCTGGCGGCAGGTCTCGTCGGCAGGTCGCTGGCACCTTTTCCGTGAGGTGGCCAGAAAGTGAGACCCCAAATTTAGGCCGTCCCAGGCCTTATTCCAAAAAATTTTCTCGATAAAGATGCCGCCTCGACTCTGTAGAAAACTCCATAAAAGTCTGCGGTTCCAGAACTCCTCCTTTAGTAAAATATCTGGAAGCGTGGGAGAAGCTGCCGGCAACTTCGCGATGTCAGTTGCCGGCAACCTGCCGGCAGCTCGTCGAAATCCGCGAGGTGGCAGCTGCCGGCAGGTCAGAGAGCACGGTAAATAGCGTGCTCTTTTGAGAGAGGGAGCTGCCGGCATCTCGACGTGCCCCTACCACGTCGAGGTGGTGGCACCTTTGCCGACGGCGTCTGCGAGTTTGCGATTTGCGGCGATATCACACAATTTACGTCAGGCGAAAAAAACAAAAATTCTACTTTTCATCAAAAAACTATCATTTTTCTCATTATATGAGTTTTTCTTTTTTGAAACGACAATTTTCTTACAGAGAAAAAATTCAGTAATGCCTTAAAATCATAAAGAACCCCGTCTTTTTTGGCAATCTCTTATAAATCTCGTTTGCACCGATTTCGCCCCTCTCTCGTTCATATCAACCAGCTGTTCTTTCAGGTCAAAGTCTCTCACGCAATGTATCGATCCCTCTTACAGGCAGCAATTTACCAGCGCGTTCCTCCTATTGCTGGTGCAAACGTCGATGGCTGACCGAATGGTCGAGTGGTTAACGTGGTGGCACTTTAAGTTAACGCACATAGGTTCGATCGCGGGCGAGGCAGCAATTTTGCGGCTGTCTGCGTCCTCAAAATTTAATGTGCGAAATGATTGCGTGCTAAGGTTACATAAGATTATTAAAACCTATTATCACTCTGCGAGCTGCCGGCGGAGTTGGCATCTTTCCGCGATGTGTGCCAACTTGCCGGCATCTATGATGCCACCAGGTAGGGTAGATTACTACCGGCCATGGTGTCAATGTGGAAAAAGCTGCCGTCTCAAAATTTTTCAAAAAAATGTGAAAACTTGTGTAATAGGGTTTTTATGGGCGCTGAGCAATACTGAACTATTCACAAGATTGCGAAGCTTTCTAAACGGTGTAACCGCACTTTTTAGGAACATTGAAAAAATGGCCGCTACATCTTAGCCGGCATGACTCTTCAATAAGCATCATAATATTAGGTTGTCCCAGAAGTAAACTCCACTTACAAATAAATCGAGTGTTTTTGTTTTTTTAACAGATTTAGGGTACCATTCGATAGAGCGGAGCAAGCTCTACAAGAAAATCATGAAGCACACACCTAAGTCGTAATCCAGACAAAATCTGGAGCCAAAAATCAAATTCTTTCAGCTATCCCAAAAATCGGATTTCCTTCAAGAAAATTCCTATGGACCAACTTGGTCTGTATGTAGTGGACACATACCAGTTCTCAAAAATGTATTTGGTGGATTTTTTTCAAAGCTCAAAATTGAGAAATAAAGGTGGTCCGAAAATGCCAAAATGACGCTTTTTTCGGGTTTTTCATGTAAAACTTGGCATTTCTCGATCATAAGAGCTCTTACAGGGATAAAGTTTTGAGATTATAATAAGCAAGGATTGTAGTATACAATGGCATATGTGGGAGGCGGAGTTTGCTATTTTGGACTCTCTTCGATTTCTCGCCTTCTGGGCATGGAAAAAACCAATAAAGGCATATTTGAGTACTACTGTGCCCACTGTACCAAGTTGGAGGTCCGTAGGGTTTTTCCTCGCAAAAATCCAATTTTCAGGTGAAAAATTTTTTTCGATTTTGGCTATAAACTTTACATGGTATGCGGCTTAGGCGGGCCTTGGTGGTTCTTTTGTGCAGCTTGATCTGCTCTATCGAATGATACCCTAAATATACTAGGAAAACAGAAATAGCTAGAATTATTCAAAAAAGGAGTTTACTTTTGGGAAGCTAATAAGTTGGGAACTTTACAGTTACAATCAACAACTCTACTTTGCCTAGTGTAAATGCTTTCAGGCTGTTTTGTTTCCTTTCTGAGGCAAAATATGGCCTTTCATGGCTCAAAACCCTCTTTGAAGTTTCTACCGTAATCCTACAGTAATGAAGAGAGATGGGTGACTCGTTCTATA